AAGATGAACTAAAACTCAAAACACTGGGTCCTAAGACCCAGGATCGTGACAGTCTCACTGTCTCTCAGGCTTAAAAGAGAAGAACTTTGCATCTTTACATTCGTCTAATAAAATTAGTGAGTAAATACCAGCTTTATAATAAGTGAGTGAGCAGTGATCTTAACTAAACAAATGAAACTCAAACTCTTCCGAACTGGATGCAACAGAAATGAAACATGACAAAGGCTACACTCATTTTACTTATCCATCCATCTTCTTGCACTTATCCAATTCAGGGTTGCGGGGGAGCTGGAGCCTACCGCAGATGTCATAGGATGAGAGACAGACAACCATTCACACACATTCACATCTATGGGCAATTTTAAATCAGTTAACCTAACCTCACTGACTGCATGTCTTTGGACTCTGGGTGGAAGCTGGAGTTCCCAGAGAACATGCAAACTCCACATAGAAAGGCCCCAGATTGAACCCAGGCCCGTCTTGATTGTGAGGCAACAGTGCAACGCTAATTAGTATTAATAAGGAGAAAGGGCTTGATATTATCAATAGATAAAAAGTAATAAGTGAAAACATACCACAAACTTGATTAAAACAGATCCTGGAGGTGTGCACGTATGCTCTTAAGAGCTAATAAATCTACTAGACATCGCTTACTCTGGAGATCTGCTGTCTAAGTGTTGCCATGATGAATTTGTGCAACTTAGAGTGATTAAACCTGGTTAATCATGTTTTACAGCAAGGCTTTGGGAACCTAGATGGAGAGTACTGGCTTGGTCTGGAAAACCTGTACTGGTTGACCAAACAGGCTCAGTATAAGTTGCGGGTGGCCCTGGAAGACTGGCGTGGCCGGCAGGTGTTTGCTGAGTATGACAGCTTCTATGTGGAACCAGAGAGCGACTGGTATCGACTGCGGTTGGGACTGTATCACGGCAATGCAGGGGACTCCCTCTCCTGGCACAGCAACAAGGCCTTTACCACTTTGGATCGAGACAAAGACAGCTATGGCGGTCTGCTCTTCCCCTGGTCCTACCTGATTGCTATCTGCTGTATAGTGACATTTCCCTTTTAACATCTTCATTTTCTTCTGTTGTGTCATCAGGTAACTGTGCTCATTATCAGAAGGGAGGCTGGTGGTATCACATGTGTGCCCACTCCAATCTGAATGGTGTGTGGTATCGTGGTGGACACTATCGAAGCCGGTACCAGGATGGTGTTTACTGGGCAGAGTTCCATGGAGGATCGTACTCCCTTAAACGGGTTTGCATGATGATCAAACCCAAATAACAAGGTTATCTTATGGACATGTGCAAAGGAAAGACATGATGTGGATGATCTTCACATATGTGCAGAAAGAATAAAACAAACTCTATTTGTAACTCTACGTTTAATAAAAATGATATTTTAAAATTAACCTAGTCTGTGACATGTGCATGAAATGAATAACCGGATGATGACTAATATTGACTAACTTGAGAAATCTGCTGTCGGTCGTGCAACTTCCTAAAAGAATTTGTATTGCTCAATATTTTTTTTTTTAAATTGCATAATTTTTCACTCCCATTTGGACAAAAAAACAGGGGAGAGAAACAAAAAACACTTTGTGAAAGAGTACATTAAAAAATTACATAAAATATGGGAGGAGGACAACTTATAAGCAACCGTTACTCCACAAAGGGCTGGCTGCAGATGTGGTTTTGTATTTTGGGCTTCACAGAGTTTCCTGTACACAAGGGCGTTAAATTTCCTCTCTAGTTTTTTTTTCTGCCTGTGAAACTTTTAGTCGGTCATCATAAGTAGGATCTGCATCGAGCTGACGTTCATTTAACCCAGGTTCTGAAGCTGGATAGTCTCTGGATGCTCCTGAAACACTGCTCCATTCACCTCATTCCTTCTGCATGCTGTCCAAGCATGCTGCCTGTCAGGATGCTGAGCATTCTCATCCTCCTCTTTTCACTGTGCAGTGAGTAATAATGATGCTCTGCAAGAACTCTGTGTGTATGGGAAAAACTATTTCATTGAATTGTTAGGAATAAAAATTAGGTTTTTAACTTTTAGTGTCTTGATGGTGTGATCAGTTTTGATACTGGAATGTTATTAGTGATGGTAACTGCAAAAGCTAAAACTAATAATAAGATCATGTTTCATGAAATACTCCCCTTTTAAGTTTTCATGACTCTATGTGGACTTGTGAAAAACATATTTCTTTTTGGTTACATGGTTCAGTAGCTTTCAAAACAAACCTTAGCAGTAGTGACTTGTAGTAATTATTTTAAACTATCGTTTTGTTGTGTGTTGTTTTGACCATTGTACGGTCTGACGGTCAGGATTTACATAGAATTTGGACCCAGGTGCCGATTTTGAGAAGGTTTAAACAAACTGAAAATAACTTTTATTTCGACCCGAGGCAGTAAATTCACAAGACTGACAGAAAACAGACTCCAACAAACCACACAGGCGGATAAACAGTAGAACAGGATGAATAACTGAGGGGAGACAAAGGCTATAAATACATATAAGGTCATTGGAACAATGGGAAACACTAGGGAAAGACTAGCTAGCTAATCACAGGAGACAAGACAAGGGAAGTAAAACAAAACACAGTGAATGCCAGATGAGGGACTAACAAAATAAAACAGGAAGTAAGCAAATACGGGAACATCGTGGGAACAGAAAAGCTGACTTGACACAGAGAACAAAGGAATGTAGGGAAACAACCACTACAAATGAACTAAAACTAGAATAGGATAATCTAAATGAGAAGAATAGAGAGCAAACTAATCAGAAAATATATGGTAATAATATAATAAACAAAACTAAATGTTAAACTAAAATGTTTAAGTAGAAAATCCAGAGTCATGCGTGGACGTCCACGCCTGAGAGGATGATCAATTAATAGTGCATTACATTAGTACAGCCTGGCTGCTACATACCCTCTGAAACCCTATAGGAGCAGTGAGGATTCACTTTGTTTTTCAACATTACTGCGCAGAATCCTGTGGGAATTTTCATTTTCACAGGATTGCATTTATTTATAATGTTTGAGTTTATTAGAATAACTGTTTTTAAATAACAGACAGCATTTGAATACATTTATAAATAAAGACAAATCAGCTTTTTAGCAGCTTTAATCAGTTAGCACCTGTTCTGCCTTAATAACAACTACACAGCAACTGGTAGGCTCATTTGGTTCCCCATGTTGCTCTCTTTTTGGGTGTGTCTTTTTCTTGAATGTGCAGTTGGGCCCATAATTTGTTGAACAAAGACATAGTTTTGCCTCTGAACAGTCAAGATATGACAAAAATGCAGACTTTCAGCTTCAGTTCAAGGGGGTATACAGTCTATAGGGCTATAGAGCTAATAAAAGTCCAATAAAAACATTATTCTTGTCTATTCATAGATGCTGACAGCATATGCACAACAGAGTTGAAGACAGATCCACCTGAGATTATTGCAGAATATGGAGGAATTCCTGTAATTGTAAACTGTACCACCAGACTGGGCGATCATTACGGACTATACTGGAGAGTCGGGAATGAAAGCTCTGACACTGAAGATGAAGAAATGTTTATCTCCCACTTAGTGCCACTGTCAGACTGGAATGTGACGGCCGAGTGCAAAATAAAGTTTAATGAGTCTTATGAATGCAGCAAGGAACTCAAAGTTATTTTATTCAGTAAGTTTAATTTGAATTGAATACAGTACAATGCTAAGAAAATAAATAAATGTTGACATTAACTAACTTTGCTTAATTTTGTTTGCCAGATAATCCAGAAGTTGTTCATTCTGTACAGCTTGTGAATGTGATAGGAGAAGAAACACAGTACAGACTGCAGTGCGATATAATCAATGTTGCTCCTGTTCAGTATGTCACTGTTAGCTGGTACAAAAACAGTGAAAAAATCCAGACAGAATCTTTCAATGACGCAACAACCAAAACTCCAGTAAATGAGTCCTCTATTCTGAGAGTCAACATCAGCAGAGAAGAAAATGTAGTGGAGTTCAGATGTGAAGCTCAGCTGGACTTTGGACCACACAGACCAAAACTTCCTGCCATTTCTCAAACACACAGAGTTTCAGCCCACTGTGAGTAAATATCCTGCTGTTTACACACGAACAGAAGTTTATTTTTTATTTTTTTTAAAGATTAAACACAAGTTCCCTTCTGTTCAGCTTTCAATTGTGTAAATGTGAGAACTGATAAAAAACTGTTTATCATTTCAGACGCTCCGGAGCTAAAGACACAAAATAGTGCTGATGACACTTATGCACTTGAGGGCACTGATATCATCTTGAGCTGTGAAGCTGTTGGAAACCCTCTTCCTGTGTATAACTGGATTTGTGATGGGAAAAACATGTTGGAGAACACAACCAGTCTCAGTTTACCTCGAGTAAATGGCAATAAAACCTGCGCATGCACAGCTACCAATTATCTGGGAAACATAACTAAGACAATCCATCTTCATGTTGAACCAACAGGTATATATTCTTACTTCACATCTAAAATTGTGGATGATTTAGATGAAACTGCTGACTTATGTCTTATTTTACACCAAATCATCTCTAACTCTGAATATATTT